CCTGTGTCGTCTGCGCCCAGGCCCCGCCCGGTCTGAGGCCCGGTAAGTGACTTCAGACCTGCGATGCCGTTCACGCCGGGGACTCGCCTCCCTTCGTATCGCGCGTGGCACATTCCAACACCAGCCCAGTTCCCCGAATCCTTTTTCGCTTCCTAGTTGGTTTTTTTCTGATACCTTTTTTTAATTTTAAGCCGTTTTACGGGACAGGCCGACCGGCTCGGAACAGAGTGTGGCCTTGGGGGAGGGGCCGAATGCACCAGGGCCGCTCTTCGATACTTTCGCGGGAAGGAGACGCCGAGAGATCAAAATGTGAAAACACCCGTGGACAGCAGGCGTAAAACTTCAGGAATCGAGCACAGGGGAGCGTTGGCTTGCGGTTACACATTTCAGCGAACTACACAGTCGTGTTTCCTTGCTAGGGCACTTTGTCATCTCCTGGTTAAGCGGGGTGTGACAGGGATATGGCCCAGGGAGAAGAGAGGGCGTTTACTGGGCAGGTCAGCCTCACCCAGATTGTTCCTAGAAATCGAGCTGCTTGAATTACTTATTCAGTCAAAACCATCCCATTCCCCCGAAATAACTCAGCTACTTTTTATACAAGAAAAGTTTAGCGCAAGCTAAGAATGTGCTGGTAAGTAATTCAGGCAGGTGAGAGAACTGGAATTAGGAACTTGGAATTTAGATGATTGAGAAAATGGTTTTCTTTACTTCACACATTTTTCTTTTTCACCCAGTTAAACAGTTTGAAGCGCTTCAGACGTGAGGTTTTTGTTTGGTTTTGCTTCCTGTAACTTCAACCACGCAGAATGTTTTTCTGAATTTTAACGTTTTAAGAAATGCAATAATGAGCAAGATTTGTAGTATTTGCTTTGGAGGTTGCACAAAAAAATTGAATGAGTCATCAGCATTTAATATTGGAGCACCTGCTGAGCATGGTAGGATGCTTGTTCACCATGGTGAACTGGGTTTCTCCATTCCGAATTCCTGGGTTGTGTTATCATTAGGGTCACGGTTTTCCTCTTACGTGTAAATTCCTTCTTTTTAGATACCCAAACTCTAAAAATTAAAGTCCTGAATTGTGAGAAAAATTCTAAGAGTCCCTGTTATCACATATCAAATAAACTGTATATTTCTTGATTTGGGTTTGATTCAGGAAGTAATTACTGTTTTCGAATACCACAGCAATCATCAAGGTAGATTCCACATTTTGTGTGTGTCCCTTGTGTGGTTGTTTGCCAACCACTATTGCAAATTCCTCCAGGATTCTGGCTATGACATGGGGAGAATAGCAATTTAGCAAATGATTATTGGTTTCAAGAAAAACCTTATGCATAGTGGTGGCTGAGTCACTCTGAGGAGTGCTGACCTCTTTGGATAGGATCCTATGTTTAGAATGGTTTCCTCAGACTCTTCCCCATTGCCTAGAAGGATGGTGGAAAGGAAAACTGAAACTGACTCACTGGTTTCAGTCTTGCCCTCTGTAGTATTAGCCAGAGGGCATGCACCATGACAAAGCCAGATACAAAGCTGGCTTTTAAATGTTTATCCGTATAACGTGGATTCCTTTATTTATGGGCTGCGTATAGTCAAACCTAAAAAAATCAGGAAAAAATATTCAACAAGAACTCCACAAGGGTAGAGGTGAATGCAGGCAGTTTACTTTCATGGTTTTGATATTCATTCCAGTGGAAGGCATGAAGGTGGAGAGTGAGAGAGATAAGCAACTTTACTGAGTTCCTGGGTTGTGCCAAGTGTTGTACTAGGTACTTCCTTATGGTATTGCCCTGAAAGAACAGACTTTCCAAAGGAGGTGCAATCACCCGTGTTTTATAGATGAGGAAGTTGAGGCATAGGGAACTTTCCCAAGGTTACACCCCAGGTCTGGAGCCCGATTTACGATTTACGTAACTCTAACGGATGGGTGTTTTCAAATGCAAACAATCTACAAAGATACTAAACCAAGCTTACATTTCCCCCCTCGTACTGCATCCTGAGGAATACGGGCAGAGGAGGGGCTGCTGAAAAAGAATCTTAGAGGTAGAAAAACCCTCCCATACGTGTCATCCTTGGGCAAGACCACCCAAATCATCAAAGAGCAATACTTATTTCCTTTATTCCTAAATATAACCTAGAGGAAGAAAGTCCACTCCTTGTGTCTGTTTTAACTTTGAACCAAATAAAAACCCCAGTGGAATAAGAACTCATTCTTATCCCTATACCTTCAAATCACAGAATCCTAGATATGGATACTGAAATCTTCACACTATTTAAAGAAACTTAGCAACAGAGCACCCAAGCTGTAGAGTTGGAAGAGGAATTCCTAGCTGCTATGGACAGTCTGGGGAGCTGGGATACTGTGTTACTTGTCCTCACAATTTACTAAGTCCTAGTAAATTGGGAGTTATGCAGCTGTACCACAGTGATTGAGGGTCTTGGCAGCAGCGTGGGTCAGGAAGCGGGCTAGAGGAAGTTTCTAGGTAGAATCTGATCATAGTCATTTTTGGAAGTCACTGGAATCATAGAAATCTTTGCCATCATCTTCCTCAACCATGTGGTTTTACAGATGAAGAAACCGAGCCTGGAAGGCTCAAGCTCTTGAAGTGCTGGCCAAGCCTGCTGTGAATGTTTCACTCTTCCCATTAAAGTTGTGTCGTTATGGGACTATGCCTCTTAGAGAGGGTCTGGTTCTTGTGTGTTCTGCCTTCCATGGTCCATCTCTGTGCAAGACAAAACAGCGTCTGCGCTCTCTGTCTCTGGAGAAAAGTTAATATCCAGCACTTGTTCACTCAGATAAGAGGTGAAAGAAATAGTCTAGCCAAGTAACTGCCATTGTTTCACTATTTCCTGCAGTTGAATTAATCACTGGTCTGACAGGTCAGGAAGAAATGAGCAATAGTATTTGCCGTATTAAATTCTCAATGTTCTTTTAACTCTAATCTGAGTGTCACTTCATGGTTTAAAAACCTCTGCCTTAGAACTCAGATCTCCAAATATGTGGAAATGATTGTGTATAAAAAACACAGGTAACCAATACGTATCATTTTCATTTTCTTAAGATTGATGGGAAAGAATTTGAAGACAAGAATCTTCGCTTGGGAATAAAAGACACCCTTTTCCTGTAACTGCCCAGAGTAAAAGTGTAATTGATCATGTACCTATAGTCTTTCCAAGGGATAGTAAAACTTCCATCCTTAATGTTTTAGTACGTGTGTGTAAAGTATTTAACTGGTTCCTGACATAATGTAGGTAACAATGAATTGGAACTGTAGCTGTTCAATAGAGCTTTCTACCATGCTGAAAATACTCCGTATCTGTGCCATCCAATACAGAGGTCAGTAATCACAAGTGGCTATTGAGCATGTGAAATGAGGAACTAAAAGTTTAATTTAATTGAATTGAAATTTAAATAACCATGTGGCTACTGAACAGATTCCTACTGACTTGTTTCCTTTCCTTAGTCAGCTTTTAGCTAGGATAGATGATTAAAATTAACCAGGAAGCAGATTTTGGAGGCTATGTATATCTATACACACACACACACACACACATACACACACATGTATATGTGAGTGTATATGTGTGTATGTTTATATGCCTATATATGTAATCTGTACATCTATGTAGTATATATGTAACTTTGTAGCAATTAGAGCTGTCAAAAATTGCCATTCAGAGGTGAGCTCCCCATCTCTGGAGGTGATCAAGCAGAGGCTGTCAGCTATGCTAAAGGTTTACCCTTCGGGTAAAGGATTAGATGAGATAATGCTCTATAGACTACAAAGTGCTTTCTAATGGTCTTCTCTTGACTTTGCCCCAGAGTCATACGACTAAGATTATTCCCATTTTGCAGAATAAAGAAACTGAGGACAGTATGGGGAGCTGGGATACTGTGTTCAATAGAGCTTTCTGCCATGACTTGCTCTAGGTCACTAGACTAGTAGCAGGACCACCGTACAAAATGCTCATCTTCTGACGTGTTCAAGACTCTTCCTTCTATGATTCTGCAGTTCTTT